GCCTCCGTTGGACTCTTATGGCCAACCCATTTTCTATGGATGACGGCTGCGCGATGCGCAAATGCGGCAGCTGGGATGTTCACTGGTGGTCAAATGACGTGACAATAGTGTATTGTATACACCTGCATATGGGAATACGCTTCGATTGGTGGATGCATGTTTCACTTTTCATACAATCGAACCCGGCATGTTTCACAATGAATGAACGGTGTAGCGATAGCAAGTAAAATAACGCACGACACGATTTCGTAGCTGAGGCCGTGGCCAGTGGAACGTTTTGTGGTGTTTGGACCGCATGATGAACAATGCGACCCAAATGGGGGATGTTAAAACCCTCTAGGCCCCGTGCCTAAATTGGGAAGCAGTTCTGAGGTCTGTGTTTGTGTTGCTTACCAAGTTCCATTGATCGCCATTTTGGCTCAAGACACACTTGAGGTTCAAGATCTGATGTGTAGCTGCATTCACACGTGATCGGCATTGAGAGCGGAAAACACTTCGCTTGCGCTGCATTTGTCAGGACCACTGTTGTAACTATTATTCCTTCTCCCTTACAACGTTTACACGGGTTTGGCTATAACGGCATTGTCCGTATACACCTTTCTACGTGGTTGGTATTACAGCTGGAGGGTTCGGTGCACAGCGTCCCACGGGACGTCACCTTGCCGTCTCTTGACAATCTCAGAAGTGTGCACAAGCATTGGTTATGCCATCTGACTGGGGCGGCATCTCGTGCTGGCCTCATGTCGCTTACAGATGTTCTTTTTGCATATTGCCTGCAGCGACTCGACGTGGCACCGCAAGCGGCAAAACCTGGAGTTCCTCTTGTGTGCATGAGAGTCAAGATGTTTTTCGGGTTGAATTTATGTTTTCGGTTACATGAGACTGACAGGGTTGACGTGATCCAACATGCATGGACTTACGCTGCCACCAATACGGGTATGGCTTGCGTGATACGCCTGGTTGTTTCAGCCCGTCAGGTGATGCCGGATGTATGTATCTCTGAGATAGCCCAGCATCACTGTTGTGTGACGCACGTTGTCCTGAAATTTGACAAGGTGGTCACTCTGAAAAATGCACTCGCTAAATGGTTGATGCTTGAAGGAGTTGACAGTGGTAACATCAGCCAACTCGTTGAGGAAACGTACAACAAAGCCGGCCAGGCTCAGGTACAGGTTATTCTTGATGAGCCTATTCCATCCCGCTGGAGCAAACTGAGCAAAGTTCTCCAAAAAATTGACATCGCATTGCCAGAGCGACATGTGAAATCAACGAGAGCCGCCAGTACTGTCCATGCTGCCATTGATGTCTCCTTTTTCAGTATTGAGCCGGATTATTTTGTGACCCCAGACGGTACTCCTCTTCCTCGAATTCAGACGTTGGCACCGAAAATGTCAGGTGTGGCGCTGCTTTCAGGTGCCAGGCATTGCCGTGGCTACAAAGCCAGTGTGGATTGTCAGCCGATCCGCTTGCTGTACTTGTTCCTGTGGGCGATGTCGTCGCATCCCCACGGACGCCAGAGGTAATAACAACTCCAGTGAGAGATCAGAGTGGCAAGCAACTCTTGATTGCAGTGCAGCTCTATCAGCTGGGCCATACCGAGGTGCGTTTCGCAGCAGCGGGTGGAGGAGTCATCAAAACAGATTCGGAGGTTCAAGTGACCTTTCAGATGTACCAAGACGAATTTCCAGCAAATGAGTGGAATCAGGCCAGAAGTCATCCGATCCGTGAGCTCGCAAAATCCTGGCGAGGTTGAACATTGAAACTCCGTTCACCAAGGTTTGGGGACGTTCTTACTTGCAGAAGGGCCTTCGCTCTGACCCCAGTCAGGCAGACATGCTGGCATTCCAGGCTACAATAGACATCAAATCCGAAAACGAGATCCTCGTGGCTTCAGGTATCGAAGGCCTCTATGCTACGGCACGAGAGGCCGACGGTCGTCCTCGGGGCGAATATCGTATTGTTTGGGCGACCAACGGCACGAAGCATGATCTTGTGCCCATTACAGCCAAACATCCCATCGTTGGGATTGTGCGAAACAAGTCTGGATGGGGTGTCCGTGTGAAGCGGGGCAACTACGACAAGGTCTATACTGCTCTCCATCCTGGGAAGTCGGTACCAGCTGAGTTTGTGGCCAAGCACACTTGGCGTATTACTCCTATACCGGTCGGAGTCACGCAAGATGGTCTCACTGAATGGGCCAGCAATCTTGCATGGGCGATCCGTGTATCCAAGTTTCTTGGTGCCAACACAGCAATCCTGCTGTCTAAAGAGCCTCCCCCGGTTGGTGTCCTTGCAATCAACAGCAACCCCATCCTAATCACGGAATTGCCCAACCGTAGGAGCACTCGTACTGTTGTGGCAGGCACCATCAGCCGTATGCCGACACCACAGATCAATCAAGGACAGGACGTGTTGCAGGTTCATGATCCTTGGGCCAAGGCCTTGGCATCCAGTGCCACCAAGCCGCGGCCTGGGCGGGGCAATACGTTCATGCGGACGTACTCGGCGCGTCCTGGGGGAGCGGGAGCGGCCTGCACCGCGAGCCCGCTGCTCCTGCGCCCACAAGGTCCGCCGCTGCCTGCGCTCCGTCGGCCGCGCTGCGCGGGCCCTGACCGTTTTTTGTCAGCGCGTCGGCCTCGGGTCTCCTGCGACGTCGTCCTCGCCTAAGCGGTTTCCTCCGCCTTGGCGCATCCGGGCCAAGTCCTCGTCCGTGGCCGGGAGTGCGGAAGTCTTCCTCTAGAATCGCCCTCAGGGGCGTGTGCTGCAGAGGCTGCAGGTTGGGGTCCTCGCTGGACTGCACGAAGTTGAACGTGGTGGCCTTGCGGTCCGGCTGGTCCAGGGGCAGCGGCTCATTCCGCTCCAGGGCTACTGCGCGGCAACTTCCAGGGTTGCTGCCGAAGCGTCTTCATCTCTTTAAGGGTTACTGCGCGGCAACTTCGCCCGCTGCGCGTTCGACGCCTCTGCGCTTGACGCGCGCAGCGCAGCTGAGGGAATCTGGCGGCGCACGGCCTCCGTCAGCCGGCTCACGTTGTCCAGGTGCCGCTGCCCCTCTTGGGCCCCCAAGCCAGCCCGCCCTCCAGCTCTCGCTGGCGCTTCAGCAGCAGCGGCTGCAGGTCGTAGGTCGGATACGTCTTGCGAAACCACGCAGCATCTGCGGCTCGTTGCGAGGCTTAGTACATGCGGTAGACCCTCAAGGTGGCGGGGGGAGCAGGAGCTCAGCAAGCTGGGGAAATACTGCACGTCGTGCTGGTTTTCAGCTTGTAGTCCAGGCTCTGCATCAACTCATCCTGTGCTCCGGCCGTGACTACTCCATGCTTCTTTACATGTAGCGCACTCATTTTGTTCGTACGGCAAAGGAGAGTCTAGGCCGCCTCGATGTCTCGGGCCAGCTGGTCGTAGCTCGGCGGAGGCAGGCGGCTCTGGCGTGACTGCCCTGAGCTGCGGGAACTGCCAGGAGAAGGGGCGCGGGTGTGATTGGCCTGCGCCTGGACTCTGAAGCCAGACTGCGAGGAGGCGCGGCTGCTTGCGGGGCTGCCTGAAGTGCTGCTGCCGGAGCGCAGCGTGAAGTGCTGGGGCTGCGTGGCGTTGTTCATACCGTTGGCGGACCGGTGACCTGCTGAGGCCGAAAGAGCGTGTTCTCCAGCATGTTCTCCAGCACCCAGCCCGTGCCGCGCGCGAGACCGTAGGCTGCGCCGCCTGCGAGCCCCACTGCCAACCCAGCCGTCCCGCTGCGCCGACTCCCGCCGTGGCAGCCATCGCTCCAACCTCTCCCGCTGTAGTGGGTGCGAGGGCTGCTGCTCCTTCGGCCAGCCCCCCAGGTAGCCGAAGGCCCCGCCCACACGCTCGGCGGCGACGGCGACCTCTCCTCCTCCGCAGCCACTGCTGCCATCTCCTCTATGACCAGCGGCACCTCGTTCATCAACCCCAAGTCATCGGCCACTCCGAACCCAGCCTGTTTCCAGAGGACCAGGTCTTCGCCAACGGCCAGCGCTGCGACGACATTAACTACTACGGCCGCACCGTGGCCGTGCATGACCTGCTGAAGGGCCGCGAGTACAACCAGAACAAGGCCGTGGAGGCTTCGACGAGGTGAACAACTCTCGGACGCCCCGCGCGTTCCACCAAATCGGCTACGCGGACGTGCTGCTGCGCCCCCCCATGGTGGGCATTCTGCGCTGCGGGAAGATGCTGCTGGTGATAGAGATCGAGTTCGCGGACGCGACGACGGCGCTGTGTCCGAGAACGCCGGGGCGCACCCGAGCACCGACTTCGCCTTCCAGGTCGTCCTGGACTCTGCGCTGGTAGAGTCCTTCAACCGCGTCCTCTCAGCATTGTGTTCAGCAACCTCACGGTGCACACGCAGGAGTCCACGGTGCCTCCGGGCGTGGCGGAGCACCGTCACCGTGGCGCGCGCCTTCATGGGAGCGTTCGTGACTTTTTGGGACGCGGGCTCTAAGATCCACCTGCTGGCCAACCCAGGGCAGGACGTGGCCCCATCGGAGCGGCCAGGCAGGAAGACAGTCTCTGGAGTCGCAGATGCAGCTGGGCAGCCTGCAGTGCACAACCCTATGAAGGGAGCCTCGGAGCACGTCCACTTCCTCTCGCTCCTTGCGGGACCTACGACGACACGGTGCGCAACATCGACATCGACCGCGCTGGCTACCGCCACAGCTTCATCGCGGGCTTCCCGACAGAGCGAGTGCCCAAGATGCCCCTCAGTGGCGTCAGCACCCGCTCGGGCGACCTGGCTCGGTTCACTTTCAAGACACTCGACGGCACGATGACGGACGTGTTCATCCACCTGATAGCCTATCAGCTGGTGACGCTCTCTGGCACAGGAGTCTCGTCTTGACTAGTAAGGATCCAATGCTCAATGGGAAGAGGCTCTGCAGCTCTGAAGCTTACAGACCGCGGGCTCGATTCCACCCGGGCGCGGATCATTTTTGCAGGCGAGTGCCCTTGGGAATTCTTTTTCTTCCTCCCTCCGCTCCGCGAGCGAGGCCGTGAAGCGAGCCGTGGATGTCGAGGCGGTCGTGCACGAGCTGGAGGACCCGTGGGCATACGCGGCGGCGAAGTACCCCAACTTGGGTTGGAGACTCAAGTCGAAGATGGAGTTCTCCGGGTACCACCAACTGCTCCAGCGCTGCAGGCAGCACGTCATACTTGGACGGGCGAGGGCAAACACTGTGGACTTTGCGAAGCTGGCGGCGGCGCAGTCCCGGTCGTACACGTTCCGGTGGAGGGGGGTGAGAAGAGGACCACCTACGAAAGCTTCGAGAAGGGAGGCTTCTGCTGGTGCGAAACCGGGACGACTTGGGCCAGAGCGTGGAAGACCTGATGTGCAAGATGTGTTGCCCGGTCTTCGAGACAGTCGATGAGAACTACGTGCCGCCGCCGCCCCTCAACGATAATGCCTTCTTCACCGGTCTGTCCTCGTCCGTTCTGGGGCGTCTGGCAGGCCCGCAGATGGCGGACCTCGACGGCGACGAGACACGGCACAAAATCCTCTTTTGCGACGGCATGCTCTACGATTTGAAGGAGCGTGTCCTCCGATCACCGATCCCCGCCGACCGCATGGGCTTCCACGCAAAGGCGACCTCAGAGATGTGGCAGCCGAGCAAGGCGACCAAGCTCTTCGAGCACATCCTGGCTTTCTTGAAGGAGCATGTGGAGACGGGGGTGTGTCTGCTCGAGGCCAGCGAGAATGGCAAACAGGTCATCGAGTGCTTCGAGGAATTGGAGCAGGACGGGTGCGAGATCCTCCGCCACATGAAGGTGTACGGGGACTGGGACTCCGTCCTGTACGAGCTGCGTCTCATGACCAGGGCCATCTCCGCGACGCCGCGGTTCTGCGAGATGTACTATACATCTGGGGAAGCCAGGATTCCGGGAAGGACACCAAGGTGAAGATGTTGCACGCCTTCCTCGGTCACGGCAAGGACAACTACGGGGTGCAGCTTCCGGGAAACTATGTGGTGCAACAGACTCTGACCGCGAAGGACGGACCCGCGCCTTACCATGCAAGGACTCTAGGCAAGCGGCTGGCCTGGGCCAGTGAAGTCCCCGAGCACTACTCGTTGGCGGATGACTTCATCAAGCCCTTTTGTGACATGGAAGGCGCGCCAGTCTGCAGCAGGAAGCTCAACAAGGGTCCCCGGGACTTCATGCCTAGTGGCAACAAGCAATCACCCTCCCCGTGTGACTCGACCGGATGGGATGCTGCGGCGGCTTCAAGTCTGCCAGACAACGGTCAGCTTCACCTTGAAGCCGTCCATGGCCGTGGAGGCCTCAAGACCCGGATAAACCAAGGAGAGTTCAACAAGTACATCTTCTTCCTTGCGGCAAATCTTGTGGACTCGTTGGAGATGGAGTACAACCCAGGCACCGAGATCAAGCCGCAGCCACCGGAGATGAAGATGAGCGCCATGGACCTGGTCCCATGCGCAGACAAGGACGAGGAGGCCAAACCCGAGGCCTTCGTGACAGAGATGTGTGAGCTGGTGTCCTTGAAGGAAGCAAGCCTCCACACACAGCTGACGATGGCGCTGAAGACCTACCTCAGCCTGGACACCTTGGGCGCGGCAAAGAGCGTGATCTCGAAGTTGGGGATCAAAGGACAATCCTATGGCCCGCGGTACATCTCCACCCTCAAGCAAAATGAGCGCGTGGTGGGTGTGAAGCTCTGATCGGCATCGACAAGTAGCTCTTAGGCTTTTGGGTGACGCACAGTGTCAGCCATTTGCAGAGACCCGGCAAGTCACGTGAACAGATGGCGTGCTTGCGCAAGGAAAACACTGTCCAAGCCTTGCTGTCTTGAGCGCACCTCAGATGTCCAACCCTTGTTAGACGCCTCAATGCCTGAGGCTTCTGCGGTCTCGACGTCTTGCTCGGGCAGGTCGATAGGTCGAGGACACGGACGCATGGGGATTTAGGTTTTTATAATGACGTCGTCCGAGAGACTTGGGGCGCTCTCAGGAAAATCATGCTAGGGTACCGCCGGAGCCCAGGATGAGCTGATGCAGAGCCTGGACTACAAGCTGAAGACGAGCAACACCAGCTACGTGACGGCGCGGCACGATGCGCAGTACTTCCCGAGCTCGCTGAGCTTGTTCTCCCCCACAACCTCTCGGGTCTGCCGCATCCCGCTGACCAGCGGCACGTCCTTCATCGACCCCGAGTCGATCAAGATCGCCTTCCGCGTCAGGAACACGGACGGCACCAACCCGCTGGCCCCGGCCACGCCCAACCCCGCCTGCTTCGTCCAGCGCGTCCAGGTCTTCGCCAACGGCCAGCGCTGCAACGACATCAACTACTACGGCCGCACCGTGGCCGTGCACGACCTGCTGAAGGGCCGAGAGTACAACCGCAACAAGGCCATGGAGGGTTTCGACGAAGTCAACGACCCCCGCATCGCCCGCGCGGTGCACCAGGGCGGCTACGCGGACGTGCTGCTGCGCCCCACCATGGTGGGCATCCTGCGCTGCGGCAAGATGCTGCCGCCGCAGCTGAACCTGGTGATAGAAATTGAGTTCGCGGACGCCACGACTGCGCTGTGGTCCGAGAACGCCGGGGCGCACCCGTCCGGAGCCACTGAGCACCGACTTTGAGATTCAGAACGTCCGAGTTCTGGCCTCCCAGGTCGTCCTGGACTCTGCGCTGGTAGAGTCCTTCAACCGGGTGCTCCTCTCAGGAAGGTCGCTCGTGTTCAGCTAATTCACGGTGCACACGCAGCAGTCCAGCGTCCCGAACGGAGTCGCGGAGCACAACGTCACCGTGGCGCGTGCCTTCACGAAACTCATGGGCGCGTTTGTGACTTTTTGGGACAACGACGCGGGCTCTAAGATCCACTTGCTGGCCAACCCGGGGCAGGACGTGGCCCCCATCGGCGCGGCCAGGCAAGGCGCGGCAGGTCTGGCTGATGGGCCGCCAGTTTGGCGTGCTCTTCGAGGTCCGGCACCTCACCCTGGACGCTGTCGAAGCGCCCTGCTGCCTCCTCTATTAGTTCATGAATCCAGAGAAGAAGGTGAAGACGGCTTAACGTGAAATACAAGCGCCCACCTGTCAGCTCGTGGAATCGCATGCCAGGTCTTCTTCAATTCAGAAATTATTAAAATAATTTGGGAGCTGCAACGGGCCTGATCACGCCACCTCAAGCAGGTCGGAGCTGGTCGCCCGCGACGCGCCCACGTACAGGTGGCGCAGAGACAGGTGGACGGAGCCCAGGTCCAGCCTGACGCGGCCTTGCAGAGTCAAACCCTGGCAGCTGGCGTAGGTGACGGCGTGGCTGAGCCTTGTGGCGCGCAGCAGCTCCTGCTGCTTCAGCCGCAGCCCGTTGTCCAGCCTGACGTGCTCGGGCTCCACCTCTGTAACGGCCACAAAGACGCCCTTGGGAATCTTCCCACCGCCCCCGATCAGCCGGAGCCCCGGCCACACCAGCATGTTCTGCGCTCGGTTCTGCGGGCTCTGCGATTGGCTCGGGCGCCAGAGCAATTTCCACACCCGTTTCCAGTACTAAGAGCTTGGCGCCCGGTGGCTGCAGGGCCCGGTTGGCTGCCGCGTTCACGGCCACCCGCCGCGCGTGGCTGATGACCAGGGTCGTCTCGGGCCACCCTGGCTTGGCGGGGAAGAGTTCGCGGGCCCGCGCCTTGGCCTCCTCCAGCGCGGGCGCGTCGGGCTCGCCCACCCGCAGCCTCTTCACAAAATCGAAGATGCCGGCGGTGAGCTTGTGCCGGTGGCCGCCTGCGAGGTCCAGCACCAGCTGGCTATGCTCCAGCGGGGCGCTGATGGGCTGCCCGGCCCAGGAGTCCAGCACCGCGGGCAGCTGCCACAATTCGCCAAGCAGCAGGAACTTCACGTCGGGGTTCAGCCCCACGCACGCCAGGTCCGCCCAGAGCGCCATGTCCAGCTGGGTGATCTCCTCAACCACGAGCCAGTCAAGTTTTTGCACGCTCCCGTTGCGGACGTACCTTCGCACCCACTGATCGGCCGTCTGAGGTTCTGCGCAGAGCAATGCGTCTTCGACACCAGGTGCACCGCCTCGCCCTGCTCACGGAGCCGCGCCACGATCTTGCGCGCAAGGTACGTCTTCCCGGTGCCCGGTGAGCAACAGGGAGTTGCCGGCCGCGCAGTGCTCCGGGGGGTCCTCCACCTCGCGCCACCGCCGCAGCGCTGGCCTCTCCGCCTCCATGCGCGGCGGCGCGCTGCGCCCCAGCAATGGCTTACACTCCTCCACCCGAAAGACGGGTCCTGGTGCCGCAGCCTGGTCAGCGCCTCCAGGCTCTCTTGCCGGCTCTTTGGCAGCCCCTGGAGCAGTAGGCAGTCCGTCTTGACCTGCTTCACGTACCGCGGGGCGCCGCCAGCAGCCGCCGGCTTAGCAGGCGCCGTGTGCACACGAAGTCCCAGACGCTGCCCTCCCCGTAGCAGAAGCTTTGCGTGAAGTCGGCGCCGGGGCCGTCCAGCTGGCAGCTGCTGCTGCGCACGGAGTAGCGCGCGGGCGCCCATAGCCCGATCATCGCGTTCACCGAGAGCTTGGCCATGTGCTCCTCGCCCTCGGGCCACGCAGCGTCCATGCGCTCCAGGGCCCGCCGGAGCGTGGCCGCGCCCACGTGTCCGCGCGCATAGATGCCCAGCGGGATGTGATCCCAACGGCACACGCCCGTCTCCAGCATCGCGGCAATGGAAACTTTGGGGTACCAGCCAGGGCCCACAAACGGCAGCAGCTGCAGCGCGGCCTGGCGCGCGTCGCGGCACCCCTCCACGTAGCCCAAGTCCGGCAGCCGCCCCGGCTCCACGGGCTCCACGCCGTCCGCGGGGCAAAGGATGGGCAGCGGGAAGGGTGCGTTGGCCAAACCGTTGCGGCGACAGCGCACGACGTCCACACCCACGTAGGGCTTCTCGCGGTGGCTCCCCTGGGCCTCGAAGACCAGCGGCGGCAGCTTCGGACTGCGCACGTAGGCCTCCATAACCCCCGGGCAGACGCGGCTCTCCAGACTCGTGGGCTGCGCGGATTCCCGGAGCGTCTTCTCGCTGTGGCAGTCAACGCAGAGCGCCTGCAGCCGCTGCACGCTGTCTGCGAAGAGCTGGCGCACCGGCACAACGTGGTCCAGCTCGCAGGCGCTCTGCGTCACCGTGCAGCCACACAGCGCGCACAAGCCCTGCTGCACGGCCAGGACCTCCTGCCGCTGCGCCGCTGTGGGAACCTCCCGCTTGGCCTTCAGTAATTTGAGAAAGACCTCGTGCGCCAGGCCCGCCAGCCGCTGGCCCCGGTACTCCTGGTCCAACCCCTCGCACCAGCGCCGCAGCAGCTCGTGCTCCTCGGGCAGCTCACGGATTCGCATGCCGCACCTCAGCCTCAGCCCGCTGTACTGGGAGGGACTGCTGAGGGTCACTTTGGGGCTCTCGCCCAGGCCCGCCATCAAGTCAAAACGCTTCCACTCGACTATCGGCGGCAGCTCCTGCCGCGCCTCGCCGCGGTACAGCGTGCGCCACGCGTCCCGCTCCAGCACGCGCTTCACGCACCGGTACATGTAGCAGTGCCCGTTGAAGCACAGGAAGCACACGGTGCGGTGTCTCTTCAGCGCAGGGTCGTAGCTGTCCACCACGTCGCCCTGCGAGCTCAGGAACCGCATAGGGGCGTCGCGCCAGACGCAGAACTGCCGGACCTCCTCGGCCGAGACGCCCAGGCTCCGCCAGTCGTGGCAGAGCATGGTGTCGAAGTCCGCACAGACCTCCTCGAGGCTAAGCTGCAGCAGCTCCGCAAGCTGCCGGGCCACGCAGAGCGGCTTGTCCACGAAGGCGCTGGCCAGCACGTCCTCCTCGCAGGGCAGCTGGAAGCTCACGCTCCGCAGCCCCCGCATGCGCAGCAGCGTCTCCACCTCCGTCCGCGAGTTCCGGTAGTGCGTGCTCTGCGTGCTGCACCCAGCGCCCCTCGGGGTCCAGGTAGTACGTCTCGTCCGAGAGCTGGAGGATGGGCCCCGCGGGGTCCCCGAGGGAGGCCTCCACCCCCCGCCGCACGCGCTGCGCCACCTGCTCCTCGGTGAGTCCCGCGGGGTGCCGAGTCATGGCGCCCCCGAGCTCGTTGATCGGTAGCCAGTCTTTCCGCTCGTAGGCCGCGCCCGCGTTCCGCCCGCTGCGCCGCCGGCCGCGGATGACCACCGGTACGTGGACCAGGTACTCATAGTACTTGTCTCGGAAGAAGGCCTTCCCCAGCTTGGTGAGCCGGTGCTCGCCGTCGCCCTCCAAAGACCGCACGTCGTTGGGCCCCTCGCGGATGAGGGGCTGGTTGTAGTCGAAGTCCTTGGTGGGGGCCCCAGGTGCGAGTAGTAGTGCTGCCCCGCTCGGGTCAGCTGCGCGCGAGCAGCGCGTAGGCGCCCGCCCCTCTGCGTAGGTTCAACACGACGGAGCCATCCGCCGTCGTGCGACCCCTGGCGCCCATATCCGCCGCCTCGCTGATGTGTTGTCGTTGTCTCATCCAACTTGCCATTCTTTTTTACGGGGCCAGATTTTTTTGTCGGTCGGCCGGGCATCTGTGCAGGATTTTGCATGATTTGCATGGCCACCAGAACGTTCGATGTCTGCGTGGATTGATGAGGGAGAGGGAGCTGGAGGGGGCCCTTATAGGAACTTATAGGAACTTATGGGTGGACCCTGCCCCTTTCTGGTCCACACCCCACACGGTCGGACCCTG